ATATAAATCGCTTATATATCACATAGAGCAATTATATAACCATTTATATATCAGTTTTTATATATGTGTATATGTTAGATGCACACACATATCCAAGATCTCAGCCATCTTGCTTTTTTTTGTTTTGGGGCCACAACTGGCAGTACTCAGGGCTTACTTCTGATTCTGCACTCAGGGATCACTCCTGATGGTGCTCAGAGGACCTATATGGGATATCAGGGATTGAATTCAGGTCGGCTGTGTGCTATCTTGGAATTTGTAGTGTAGTATAGCATGGAGTGGAGGAAAGACTGGGAAAAAAAGCAATATAATTTAGCATGAAAAGTACTCTTTAAAAAAATGAAGAAAATAAAAGAGTAGGGTAAATAATGGGAAAACAGAAGAGGTGGAACTGATTAAAATGATATCAAAAGGCCAGGGTGAGCATCACAGAGAACTTCAGATTTTTGGATCACACCTGGAGATGCTCAGGGGTTGCTCCTGGCTCTGCACTCAGGAACTACTCCTGGCAGTGCTCAGGGGACCATATGGGATGCTGGGGGTCGAACCCAGGTCGGCCACGTGCAAGGCAAACGCCTTCCCTGCTGTGCTCCAGCCTGATATCAGGTATCTTTCAGGTCAAAGCAAAGTCGCTAAGGCAGGAGGCTGCCCAGGAGTGTGTGGGACCACAGGACCCATAGTGCTGCTGGAATTGAATCATCAATAGACAGAGAGGCAGGAAAGGGGGTCTGAGAGGGACAGGGGTTTGGGGCTAGGGAGAGAGGCGGGAGTATGGGATTCCACACACCCATGCAAATCTTATGGGGTTATTATAAGCATTTTGTTTTTGACTACATATCCAATTGAATGCCTTTGTAGGCATTTGAGCAGTGTGGTAATATGATGTCAATTAATATTTTTCGGGGGGGGGGCTGGAGTGATAGCACAGCGGGTAAGGCTTGCACACGGCCCGACTCGGGTTCAATTCCCAGCATTCCATATGGTCCCCCGAGCACCGCCAGGAGTAATTGCTGAATGCATGAACCAGGAGTAACCCCTGTGCATCACTGGGTGTGACCCAAAAATTTAAAAAAAATTATTTTTGGGGGGGTCACAACCGGTGGGTCTGTGCTCAGGGACCACCTATGGTGGGGCTTAGGTGACCATATGGGATGCCCGGAATTGAACCTGGGTCAGCTGGGCAAGGCAGGTGAGCTGCCCTGTGTACTCTATCTTAGGCCCCCACTTAATATTTTATATCAGGCTCTTTGAATCGACACTGGGACTAGGTAGTGGGATTAACTGTAGCCCACGTGAAGATTTGCTCAAATCCTTACCTGCCCCCAGTACCCATCACTGTGACCTTTTAGAAAAACAGATCCCTTTGCAGTTTTCATCAAATTAAGATGAGGGGACAGAGAGTACAGCAAGCAAGGTGCTTTCCTTGCAAGCAGCTTGAATCTGCTTTTTTCTTTTTTTGGTTTGCTATCAGATTTCTTATTAAGTTATGAAAGTAACCTTAATTGCTCTCTGCCTCAGTTTCCTCATTTGTACAATGAGAATAATAATAGTAAGCACCCGCTCACAAACTGTATAATCTCTCTAGACTCCAACTATGTTTTTATTTTAATAAGCAATGAATTTATAAGACAAGATCATTAACATTCATATGGGTTTTGTTTTTGTTTTTTGGCAATGCTCAGGGGTTACTTCAGGCTCTGCACTCAGGCATCACCCTTGCTGGGCTTCTGGGGACCATATGGGATGCCGGGGATCAAACTCAGGTCAGTCACGTGCAAAGCAAGGGTCTTAACCACTGTACTATTGCTCTGGCCTATCTTGAACCGGCGATTATCCCTGGTACTGATTATGGTTCCACAACTACCACCAAGGATCACTCCTGAGCATAGAGCCAGGAATAGGCCCTGAGCACTGCTGGGTGTGGCCCTAACCCCCGCCCTCCACACCTCCCGAAAACGTAAAAAGAGAGAGGAAAGAGAAGCTTATTATTTGATCAAAGGGTAAATCAAAGGACATCTCTCGTGTGGCTATTTTATACTCTAAAATAAGAAGGTTGTGTTCCATTATGTGACCAAATGCCAAATGATTGTATTATTAAGTGCTTGTTGACTTGGTATGGTAAAAGTTCTAGCACATAGTACAAATGTGTACTTGGAATAAGCCAAACTCTGTCCTCATTGTTGTTAAGTTTCTGCCATTTGAGACTTATAGCACATAAAAGACTGATCATATATATATATATATATATATATATATATATTGCTTTTTCGGTCACACCTGGAGATGCACAGGGGTTACTCCTGGCTCATGCACTCAGGAATTACTCCTGGTGGTGCTCAGGGGACCATATAAGATGCTGGGAATTGAACCTGGGTCGGCCACGTGCAAGGCAAATGCCCTACCCGCCCTATCACTCCAGCCCCATGACCCGCCATATTTTAAAAGCAAAGTGCTGTGAACCTCAAAGAAATGCTTGTGCATTTTCCAAGGTTATGGGAGAGTGTTGCCTAATGAGAATCTGGAACACCACTAGAAATAAAGATTTGGAAATCCGGGTCTCTAGATTTCAGATCCCACTTTACAAAGTTCACCTTAGGTTATCACCACCATCTCTGTGTATATGTGTGTATTTTAGGGCCAGATCTGATAGTGACTAGGATGCTGTATGCTCTATGCTCAGGGATCACTCCTAGTAAGGGATTATATGGGGTGCCAGGAATTCAACCTGGTGCATGCAAAGCAAGCAGCATACCCTCTCTAGCTTCCAACTATGTTTTAATTTTAATAAGATAATGAATTTATCATATTCAATATGCCAAACACAGTAACAACAAGTCTCAAAATGGAGACATTACTGGGCCCACTCAAGCAAATCGATGAACAATGAGAGGACAGTGACAGTGACAGTGACAATGAATTTATACGACAAGATAACTAATATTTATATGGGGTCAGACAATTCCTCCAAGGACTTTAAAATTATTTTTATTTTTAAATTTTAGGGCCACACTCTAAAGTCCTGAGTGCTTGGGATTTGTTCTTTGCTCTGGCCTCAGGGATCACTCCTGGAGAGGTCCCGGGGGAACTGATGAGGGACTGTGGGGTGGTGTTGGCTGCCCACAAGGCACTGTACCATCTCTCTAGTCCCAAGTTTTAAATCCTCAATCTTCACAAAACTCGGTGAGCAAACACTTACTATTATCATTCCCATTGTACAAATGGGGAAACTGAGGCAAAGAACAATTAAGATTCCTTTAGAAACATAATAAGGAAGCAGACAGCAAACCAAACTAAGTGGCACCCCCTTTCCAAATAACTTAAACAGAAATGGGAAATGCAAGGCCATATAGAGACTTACTCTCAAGGAAAGTTTTGCCAAAATCTTAGAATGGATGCTGCTTGGGTCAATAACATTGAAATCAGACTTCCCTCCATTCCTTGTTAACTTTGGTTCCCTATGGAGGAAAAAGAAGACTAAGAATTAGGCTGAGCATCTGATCACAACCTTGTCAATTCTCAAATTCCTATTAAAGGGTCAGAGTACATAGTACAGCAGGTAGGGCGTTTACCTTGCATGAAGTTGACAGGGATTCTATCCCTGGAAGCCCATAGGGTCCGCCCCCCCCCACACCACACACACACGCACTGCAAGGAGTAATTCCTGAGAACAGAGCCAAAGTAACCTCTCAGCATCACTGGATGTGACCCAAAAAGCCAATAAATAATAATGCACTGTAGCACTGTCCTCTCGTTTATCAATTCGCTCGAGCGGGCACCAGTAACGTCTCCGTTGTGAGACTTGTAACTGTTTTTGGCATATCAAATACCACACGAGGAGCTTGCCAGGCTCTGCCGTGCAGGAAGAAATAATAATAATAATATCTGAATTCTAAAGCAAGAGAGGCAATAACGCAAAGTGCATTTAAAAAAATCAGATTACAAGGAGGTTGCTAACCCGTATGGGAGAATCCACACTGGCCAATCGGGGGCGAATCAAAAAGCCTGGGAAGATTTCTGATCTATTTCACAAGAGTTCGTGGGGATGAAAATCTACAACAACACGCAGATGCAAGGGTTCTCGCCCCACCCCACCCCCCGCCCTCGAGCGAATCCTGAAAGTTCAAAACTTTGTGGAAAAGTCATTGGGGGTGGGCTCCGAGGAAACCCTTTTTTTTTTCCATCGCCCGGAGCATGGAACTAGAGATTTTCAATTCAAATCGCTGGCAAGGGGATTAGGGAAATGGCTTCGAGTCACTAGAGGAAGCCCAATGGGATGGAAACCCCATCTCCGGTTAGGGGCGCGATCCCGGGTCAATGCGCCCCTGACAAGCCCTTGCAACCTTAATGAGAGGCAGAAACTCCGCGGCCTCCTTCTGTTACCTGGGGATGTTCATGCCTGGGTTGTGTGTGTGTTTGGGGGGGTGGGCTCAGAGTGAACGTCCCACAAGTTAATGAATGTAACGCTTGTGCTTCCCAGAACAACGCCAAAAAAAAACTCGCTCGCCTGCAGCTGATGGAGCCGCAGGCCCGGGACTGATGCTGTGCCCCTCCCTTCCCCCCGCCCCGTGCACGCCACAATCGCTCGCGTCCAGGTAGCTTTGTGAGTCACCGGGACCCTCCGTAATAAGAACACGGTGGGTGGGGCAGCCGTGCCAGTGGCTTCCCGTCCTCCCACCGTGCCCCAGCTGCCCCCCAGCCCCGTGCCAGGAGCCCCGACTCTGGCCGCTCCTTAGCCGCCGCGGCGCCCACCCCACCGGGCACGCTTGCCGTCCCGGTGGGCTAGGCCCACGAGCGGAGTCCCGAGCGTTTGCCGAGGGTCCCGGCCCCTTTAAATCGCGCTACCCCGTTTCCAGGCAACCGTGCGGCCGGCGCCCGCGCTGCACTGCGGAGCCTCTGCCCCGTGCCGGGCCCGGCCGAGTCCGAGTGGCCGACGCCGACCCCCCCCCCCCACCAAGTTGCCGCCCGCGGGTGGCGACCGGCTTCCGAGTCTAGGGCCCTGAGCCCACCCGACTTCACCGATCAGGTTGGTTCTCCTCCCCCTGGCTTCGTCCCCTCCCGCCTCTCCCCTGCTTCCGCGGCGGGGCTGACCCCGGGATGAGGCGCGCGCGGGCCGGGGACCCCTCGTCTGTACCGCGATCCGCCTGGCACGCGCGCCCCTATGGGGTGAGGGGGCGGTGGTGGGTTGCTTGGATCTCGGGAGCCCCTAGGGCTTTGGGAGGGAAGGGAAGCCGGAGGAAGAGAGAGGGAGGGAGGGAGGGGTGGGATCCGGCCTTACACCCCCCTCCTCTCTCACTCTCCCCTAGGTGATTTGGGGAGGTTGGCTGGTGCCACCTGCGGGGGGCCAGGGGGTGGGGGCGGGCAAGAGGCGCGATCTCACTTAGCCACCTTTCTTCTCTGCCCCGGACGCCCGCGATGGCAGGAGTTTTCGGTTAACCATTTACAGAGAGGGTTTTTTAAAAAAAAAAAAAAAGCCCCAAAGTAGCCGTGCACTAAACGCAGGTTTATAGCCAGTATGTGACTCCCATACTAATAAAGCCCTCAGCCCCTTCGGAATTAAGACGAGCCCCGTCTTTTTTTTTCCTTCCCTCTCCCAGAAAGAAGAGTTTTACATTAGTTAACAAAGAAGTAGCGGGGTTTGGGGGGGGGGTGGGTTAAGGGGGACTAAATAACCGTCCGCAGGGCTGTTTGCTACGGTCTCTTGGGCTGGAATGTTCAATATGTGCCGAACAATAGACAAAACGAGCTGTCCCGCGCAGCGGAGTCTTGGCCAGGAGGTTAAGACCCTTGAACGATGATGGCAAAACTCGGGATCACTGTCCCTGCCCACGATCGTGCCAAAGAACTGTTTCTGGGGGGGAAGGCTAGCAGAGTCTGGGACCCAGCTCTGAGCTAACGGGGTTCGGGGCTCGGGGGCGATAAACTTGCAGAGTTCCCTTCCGGCCGCCGGTGTCTGGCGTTTAAACGAGAGGCGCTAGGATGTTGGCTGGGAGCATGTAAGAGCAGACGGCTCCCATTTGATATTTTAAGTCTTGGGGGGGCGGAGGGGTGCTGGAGGAAGACTTCCTGGTATCACAGGTAGGAAAATGGCTTGGCAAATTTCAGAGGAAAACTTGCCTGCCAAGTGTCCCTTGTGAATAAGCAGATGGGCCAAGGCGCTGCCCTTCTCCCTTGGCATTTGAAGCTTGCAGGGCTTTGGGTTTACTTAGTTCAACACTTGACTCCCGGGCCTGGGGCGGGGCGGGGTGGGGTGGGCATTTTCTTTTTCAGTTAAAATTCCGAGTCAACCATGACGTCCAAGAAGACAACTTGGATCGCCAAAAATGTAAGTACTGAGCGGGCCGCTCTCTCTTGTGGGCAAACGTTTCTCAGCCTCGTTGCGTCGCCGTCCTCAGAACTGAAGGGAGCATCAGTTCAATGAAGTCCAAAGCCTCTGCTAAAGAGAAAAAAAATGCCTTCGGGGTACCGCTTGGTACCTGGCAGATCGTGACCAGGAGGGCCCCCGTTCCTACCCCGAGCACCTTGGAACCTGGCCAAGAAGCAGCCTACCCCCCCACACACACCCCGACAGTCCCCGACACCTCGGGATCTCCCCGCCAACCAACAAACGAAGTATCCTGCTTTCCTGTAGCTGAGCCAAGACCAATTGGAGGGAAAAATAAAATTCCTTTCCCAGGCTGTGGTCTAAGGGGCCCAAGCCTCGGGTTTGAGCTAAACCCCCACCCGCGCCCCATATCCCCAACGGTGTACTGGGTCCCCCACTGGGCCTGAACATCACCCCCACGCACACATTGAACCAGCCAGCCTGCTCGGTTGTGCCTCCTTCTCCCCAGCCCCTTGAGCACTGTTTGGGCCGCCACCTCCACGGAAAGCACTTTCCCTTACCCCTAAAACTTTCCCGTTGGGGTTTTTTTTTTTGAGCCACCCTCAGCGGTGGCTCAGGACTTACTCCTGGCTGTGCATAAGTGCCCTAACCCGCTAGACTATCACTCCGCCCCCCGCCCCCTAAAACTTTCTAAGATCAGAGAGAGAGAGAGAAGTTATTTATGAAAACTTGGCCTCAAAGCATTGAAGAAGGTGCAGGGACACTATTAAGAAGCATGCCACAACTATTTATGGGGGGTGTCGGGGATCTTGGCCGAGATGTCCGTCCCCCTGGATTTTGAAAAAAGACTTCCCAGGAGAAGATGAAGTCAAAGTTGGAGAACTTCTGACACCTTAAAAATGGCGACAGCCGCCATTTTAACTGCCATCTTCAGCTGAGGACCCTAGCTAGGACTGGAATGTTGGGCGGTGGCCTTTGTCATGCGTTATCGGACCGCCCGGGGGGTTTGCAGGCTCTGCGGGACCAGGCTCCTGCGGCTCCTTTGATGCGTCTTTCAGGAAATTTGAGATTTCCTCAGGGTGGTAGCTCTGGGGACACTTTCACAAATGGAGATTTCCCTTAGAAATGTAAATGCCTGTAGCAAAATGGGTCACCTACTGGGTTTTGACTTGCAGAATTTTCCCCGGGTGTCTGTTTCCTTTAGCAAACCGCCCTCCTGCTGAGCCCAGAGCCTGCTGGAGGGGGTGTCCAGGCTTTCTGCTGGGAACCCCCAGGTTTGGAATCTAGCAGGGTCCCCTGAATACTTTGACATGGGACCCGCCACTTCCTCCCTGCATCTCCCAGTATGCCCCAAAGCACCCCCCCCAAAAAAAATCAGCTTCAAGACCACGGATATGGCTGAGAGAGAGAGCACACACGTGTGTGCTTGGCATGTGTGAGGCCCCGAGCTGGTTTCTGTGGGTTCTCTTCCATATTTTCTGGAGTCGTTTGACCATAGATAAGCATTCACTTACACTTCTTGTGGAAAGGTTTCTTTAAGTGCTAATGATCACTTTCTTTTTAATTGAATCACAGTGAAACACAGTTACAAAACTTGTTCATGATTTGAGTTTCAGTCCTACAGTGTTTCAACACCCATCCTTTCACCAGTGTACCAATATCCCCAGTTTCCCTCCTGCCATCCCTCCCCAATCCCAGCCCCCAGCCTGCCTCAATGGCAGACACCTCTCTCTCTCTCTCTCTTTCCCTCTCTCCCCTCTCCCCCTCTACCCCCCACCCCGTTTTTTTTCCCTTTTAGCACTGTGGTTTGCAATACTGTTACTGAAAGGGTGTCATGTATATCCCTTCACCTGCTTTCAGTACCCACTCCTTGTCCAGCGTGATCATTTCCAACTGTCAACTGTCATAGAGGTCCCTTCTCTGTCCTAATTGCACTCACCCATCCCCATTCGGGGGGGGGGGGGATGGCTGTCTTAAAGGCCCACTCAGTGTCCTTTCTGTCATGTGACTTTATATTGTTTTCCTGGGCTCTAGCTTATTTGTCTCTTTATTTTTCATTTCTCTTCGTTTTCCTCCCCTGCCCCCATAAAGTCCTTTGAATGTAGGTAGCCTTGGGTTGGCTGTTATAATTAAAAAAATACCTCTGAAAGGATATTCTTATGCTGTCAATAATGACTTCTGGTTTGATTTGCCTCCTGCTGCATGCAACAAATGACCTAATCAAGGAGACTTGAGAATAAATGGCAGTTAGGTCCAGGGTAGAAGAGCACCGACATCCAGTCCTTGTCCTTTGCCTGACTAATGCCATATTTGTTCTGTATTAAACAACAACAACAACAAGAATCCGCTGAGAGAAAATGAGCCCGACCGCTTTTACCCTCACTCTGGGCTTTACCATACTCTGGGACTAGATTTGGGAACAAGCCCTTTTAAGGATCTCCTGCCAATAAAAGAAGGGGGAAAAAAAAGAAAAAGAAAGAAAGGAACGGGCTCAGAGACCCTTTGACCCTCCCCTGTGTAAACCATGGGAGGGAAATTCCAAAAGCCTTTTCAAACCTTTCTCTTTCTGTGCTTTGATATGTGACATGCAATTCTCCTTAACCCTCCACCCCCTTCATTTTTTCCCCTGTCTCCTTCTGTGGCCCTCTAAAAAAATACCTCAGCTCTGAAAATAGTGGGTGGCTTTCTTTCACTGTGTGGAATAGAACCTAGCAGGAGAAAAAGAGGAATTTTGCAAGAAGCACTGACCTGGGAGACATTGGACTGTTTTATCACTACAGGCTGTGTGGCCTGAATCAACTTTCTTACTGCTCTGTGCTTTGTAATAATAAAAAAAGAGAGAGTAATAAGATTTCTTGAGCCAAAAGGTGGTAATGAAGTTTCTTCTTTCCTTCCTTCTTCCCTCTCTCTTTCTTTCCTTTCTTTTCTTTCTTACTCTTTCACTTATTTCCTTCCTTTCTCTTTCCTGTTTTCTTTTCCCTTCTTTTCTTTATTCCCTGTACTTTCTCTTTTTTGTTTCATTTTTAAAATTTCTTTTCTTTCATTTTCTTTCTTTCACTCTTTCCTTCCTTTCAGTTCTAGTTTCCTTTTTATTTCTTCTCTCTTTCCTTTTTTATTGTTTCTTTCCTTCATATTTTTCTATTCTTTCTTTCCTTTCTTCCCTTTCCTTTTTATCTCTCTTACCTTTCCTTTATTTTCTTTCCCTTTGTTTCATTCCCTCTCTTCTTTCCTTTTTCTTTTCTGTCTTTCCTTTTCCTTTATTTTGTCTACCTTTCCTTTCTTTTTTTCCCTTCCTTTCTTGTCTTATCTTTCCTCTATTTCTCTTTTCTTTTCCCCTTCCTATCTATTCCTTTTCCTTTTCTTTGTTTTTATTTACTTATTTGCTTTTTGGGTCACACCCAGAGAGACTCAGGTGTTATTCCTGGATCATGCACTCAGGAATTACTCCTGGTGATGTTCGGGGGACCATATGGGATGCCGGGGATTAAAACTGGGTCAGCCTTGTGCAAGGCAGATGCCCTACCTGCTATACTATCGCTCCAGCCCCCTTTCTTTTCTTTATTTTTGTTTACTCCCTCTCTTACATTTCCTTTCGTTTCTTTTCTTTCCTTCCTTTCTTTCTCTTTCCCTACCTTTCTTTCCTTTCTGTCTTCTCTTTCTATCCTTCCTCTTTTCCTTTTTCTCTTTCCCATCCTCCCTCCTCTCTATTCCTTTCCTTCCTTTGTTCTTTCCTTCCTTTCATTCTCTTTCATACTTTCTTTTTTCTTCTCTATTTTCTTTGCTTTCCATTCTTTCCTTTTCTTCCTTTATTTCTCATCTCTTATTCCTTCTTTTTCTTTCATTCTTTTCTTTATTTCCTCTCATTTTGTTTTCTTTCTTTTCTTTTCCACCTCATGCCTTCCTTCCTTTTTCTCCTTTCTCTGTTCTTAATTTTCTTTCCTTTATTTTTCTTTTCTTTCTTCTCCTTGCTTTCCCTTCTTTCTTCTTTCTTTCCCTCTTCTCTTTTTCTCTTTCCTTCCTTTCTTTCCCTTCTTTTTCCCTTTCATCTCCTTTCTTTCCTTCCCTCTGTTTCCCTCTAATTGCTTTCTTTTTTATTTCCTTCCCTTCTCTTCATTCTTTCCCTCATTTTTTCATTCCTTTTGTTTCTCTTTCCTCTTTCTATTCTGTCTTTCTCTTTCATTCTTTTTCTTTCTTGCATTTTCTTTAATTTCTTTGTCTTTTACTCTTTTGTTTTCCTTTTTTCTTTCCTTTCTGTCCTTTCTGTCCTTTCCTTTATTTCTTCTTTGCTTCCTCCTTCTTCCTTTCTTTTTCTTTCATTTGTTTTCTCTTTCTTTGCTTCTTTCCTTTCCTCTTTCATTATCCTTTTTCTTTCTCATATTTTCCCTTTATTATTATTTTCTATTTAACTTTCATTCTATTTCTTTTCCTCTCTTTATTTTTTCCTTTTTTTCTCCCTTCCTTTTATTTGTTCTTTATTTCCATCTACCTTTCATTCATTTCTTTCCTTCGTTTTATTTTTAACTTTTGTCCTTTCTTTTCTTTCCTTTATTATTTAATACTTGTTTCCTTCTTTCTCTCTTTCCTTTTGTTTCTTTTCTTCCTTCTTTTCTTCACCCAACTTTTTTCTTTACTATATTTTTATTCTTTTTCTTTCATTTGTTTTTCCTTCCATTTTTCTTTCCTTTCCTTTTCTTTTCCTTTTTCTTTTCTCCTTTTTTTGTTTCATTCTGTCTTTTGCTTTCTTTCCTTTATCCTCTTATTCTTTCTTTTTTCCTTTGTGCTTCCTACTTTCCTTCCCCTTCTTTCTCTCGCCTTTCTCTTTTTCTTTTTCCTTTCTATTTTTCTTTTTCTTCCTTTTCTCTTTCTTTTTTCTTTTATTCCCCTTTCTTCTTTTTGTCTTTCTTTTTTGTCTTTCTTGCCTTCTCTTTCCTTCTTTCTGCATTTTTCTTTTCCATTTATTTTCTTTCCTTCCTTTCTCCCTCTCTGTTTTCCATCTCTTTCCTTTGATTTTCTTTTCTTCCTTTCTCCTCTTTGTTTTCCATCTCTACTTTCCTTTGTTCCTCTTTGTCCTTCTCTTTCTTTTCTTTCCTTTTCCCCTCATTTTCTTTCCCTTTCATTCATTAATTTTTCTCATTCCTTCCTTTCTTTTCCTCTTTTCATGTCTTTCCTTCCCCCTTTCCTTCTTTCCTTTCTTCTTTTTTCTTTTCTTTCCTTTTTCTTTTTCTCTTTTCTTTCTTTTTTCCTCTCCCTTTCATTCTTTTGTATTTTGCTTTCTTCCTCTTCTTTCATCTCTTCCTTTCTTCATTTCTTTCCCCTTTCTTTTCCCTCTATTCTTTCCTTCTCTTTCCCTCTTTCTTTACTTTCATTCTTTCCTTCCCTTTTCCTCTGTCCTTTCATCCTTCCTCACTTTTCTTTCTTAGCTTTCATCTTTGTTTCTTCTTTTTCTTTTCTTTTCCTCCCTTTCTTTCTTTGCTTTCTCTTTTCCTTCCTCTTCCTTTCTCCCTTTTTCTGTTCCTTTCTTTTCCTTTCTTACTCTTTTCTTTCTCTAGTTTCTGTATTTCTATTTCTCTTTCATCTGATCTTGCTTTTTTTAGTTTTCGTTTTTCTCTTTTTATCTTCCTCTTTGATTCTTTTACTTCCTTTCCCTTCTTCCTCCCTTTTCTTTCTCCTTATCTTTCTCTTTTCCTTTTCCTTTTTCCTGTTATGTCTCTTATTTCCCTCCTTTCTTTCTTTTCCTTTCCTTTCATCCTTCATTCCTTTACTTTCTTAACCTCCATTCTTTCTCTTTCTTTTCTCTCTCCTTTTATTGTCTTTTTTCTTCCTATTCTTTCATCCTTTCTCTTTTCTTTCTCTCCTTCACCCTTTCTCTTTTTTCTTCCTGTCTTTCCTTTTTCTATACCTTTCATAATATCTTTATTTTTTCATTCTTCACTTTCATTCCTTCTCTTTCATTCCTTTGTCCTGCTGTCATTCCTTTCTATTTTTGTCTTTCTTTTTACTCCCTTTCCGTCTTTGTCTTTTAATTCTTTTCTTTCATTTTTCCTTTTATCTTCTTTCTTGCTCTTTCCTTCTTTCATTTCTTTCTTTCTTCTCTCTCTATTCCTTTTCTTTCTTTCCTTTCCTTACTTTGTTGCTATGCCTTTCTTTTCCTTTCTCATTTTCTTTTTTCATTTTTACTTTCATTCCTTCTCTTTCATTCTTTCTCTATCCTTTCTTTCTTTCCCAGCAGTAGATATGAAAGTGCACATCTCAAGAGGGGAGTGTGGGCAAGACATGTGCTCAGGCACCACATTTGCTCAGCCACCTGGGCACAGGCAGCACATTGGCTCAGGCAGCAAATGCGCTTCTTTCCTTTTTTCTCTTTCCTTTTGTTTTTCCTTTCCCTTTAGTCTTCCTTTTCTTTCTTTTCTCGTTTTCCTTCCCTTGTGTTTTCTTTCTTTTCTTTCTTTTCATATCTTTCCTTTTTACTCTTTTCTCTATTTCTTTCTTTTATGTCCTTAATTTCCTTTCTTTATTTGCATTGCCCTCTTTTTCTGTCTTTTTTTTTCTTTTTTGGGGGGGTCACACCCGGCGATGCACAGGGGTTCCTCCTGGCTCTGCACTCAGGAATTACTCCTGGCGGTGCTCGGGGGACCATATGGGATGCTGGGGATCAAACCCGGGTTGACTGTGTGCAAGGCAAATGCTCTACCCACTGTGCTATCGCTCCAGCCCCTTTTCTGTCTTCTTTCCTTTCTGTCCTCCTTCTTTCCTTCTGTCTTTCTTTCTCAGTTTTTCTTTCTTCCCTTTTACTTTCCTTTTCTTCCTTTCATTTCTTTCTATTCTTTCTTGTGTTTTCTGTTCTTTTTCCCATCTTTTTCTCATTTCTTTCCACTTCATTCCTTCTCTCTTTTTTCTTTCCTTTCATTCTTTTTGCTTTCTTTATCTTTCCTTTCTCCCTTTTGAATTCTTTCTATCATTCCTCTATTCCCCCTTATTTCCTTCCTTCCCTCACTTTCTCCTTCCTTCCTTCCTTTTGCTTTCTCTTTCCTTTTTCTTCAATTTCTTCCATTAATTCCTTTCTCCTCTTTTATTTCCCTTCCTCTTTTTCTTTCCTTTCTTGTTTTTTTCTTTCCTTCATTTTCTGTCTTTTTTCCTTTCTTTCTCTCTTTTCCTCATTCATTCTCTTCATTTCTTTTCCTTCCTTCCTTCCTTTCATCTTTCATTTCTCTTTATCTTTCTTTTCTTTTCTCCTCTTTTTATCACTTCACTATCTTTTCTATCATTCCTTTCTGTTCTCTTATTACTTTTCTCTCCTTTTCTTTCTCTTTCTGTTCTTTTCCCTATTTGTTTCCTTTATTTTTCGTTATTTCCTTTTTCTTTCTCTTATTTTCCTTTTCTTTCCCCTTTTTGTTTTTTCCTTCATTTATTTCCTTCCTTTTTTTCTTCCTCTTCCCTTTCCTCCATTTCTTTCCCTCTTTCTTCCTCTCTCTCTCTGCCCCCTGTCTTTCTCTCTCCTGCCCTCTACCTTTTTTTCTCTCCCCTTCTCCTTTACCATCCTCTTCCCTCCTCTCCTGTTCTTTCTTGGATATTTAGACTACTTTGCCCAAAGCTGGAATTTTTTTGTTCTTTCCATTGCACCAGCTGCCAGTGTAAATATTGCCCCTGGATTGTGGTGTTGTTTGGGACCACACCCATTGGTGCTCAGCAGATGCATTGAGTGTTCTTTCTCTCTCTCTCTCTCTCTCTCTCTCTCTCTCTCTCTCTCTCTCGCTCTCTCTGACCCTGAACTTTAATTTTAAATTTGTCTTCAGGGATTAAAAGTGGTGCTGGAAGAAATGGATCCCGGTGCCCGAAGAAAGGAGTGGAATGATAATATGTACACACCTTTATCTAGTCCAACTGATAGTTTGGAAGAGGTAGCCTCCGCTGATTCTGGCAGAAAACTCGAGAAGGCCAAGAAAAACGAAGGTCATCTTGCTCTGCCTAATAGAAAATGTCAGGAAGAAACTAATCTCAAGATGAAGGAAATATTTCACCAGAATGTCAAAGAACCCAATATCCGAGACTACAAGATGAACATCTTGAATAATGGAGCAGGTCCGAGTTGCCTGTCACCTGGATCGCCTCAGTCCCCCAAGGAACCGGGATCACCTCAGGCCCAGGTCAAATCTGGATTGACTCAGATCCAGGTCACAGCTGGATTTCCTCGGGCCCAGGGGAACAGCGACTTCTGTGCCCTTAACAACATCATCCGAGCTCGAATTCGAGCTCGGTCTGCCTATAAGATCGAGGGAATATCAGTTTGTCCTGATCTTGTAAAAGGTTCTACACCCAAAATCCATGTGAATGTTCTGAATAAAGAACTGGAAGAGCTGAATTTGAAATGCCAGAAGATTGAATCCGATTTTGAAATGACTGAGAAGGAACTCATCACCTCCCGCCAAGTTTCCTCGGAGGAATTTGAGGAAAGTACCAGCTTCGGAGCATCAGAGAAAGACATCAAAATCGAGATCCTTCGAAATGATCTTTCTGAAAAAGCCTTAACCATCAAAAACCTGACGTTCGAACTCCAACACTCTGAGCAGCTGATTGAAAAGCTCAGTTTGGAGAACAGAAAGTTAAAGGAGACCATCAGGAAGTTAAAGCACCAGAATTACATAGGAAGTACTCTTCTCAAAGAGGAACTTCAGTTCTATTACAAAATGGAGATGAAGAAGATCCAGGAAGAACTCAATACCCTCAAGGCCGACCTGGAAACCGAGCGAGCCATCCAGAAAAGAAACAAGAGAGCACTGGAATTGCTGAAAAAATACTTTGAGACCAAAAATTCCTTTGGCATTTTTGAAATTTTGCCAAAGGACAATTCTTAAATCTTGAGAGAAGCCCTCCCAAAGGCTTCCAGGAGCCTTTGAGCCAAATCAACATTCCTGTGGCTTTTTTTTGTCTCCTACTTAAAATGAATGAGATAAAATGTTCACTTTGGTGACTCCAACAATGTGTCATGTCAACGTGAGAAATTCACCAATTGTCCCCTTGAAATGAAGTGACTAATGGTAACAATCCAAACACAAATGAAATTTCATGAACTCTTGTTTATGTTTCACTAAGACATCGAGTCACCAATTTATTTATCAGTGCAAACCCATGGCCATTTTTTGATCTTGGTAGCCAGTGTGTCATCTGTGTCCATGTATGTCACAATAAACATCTCATTCATGTGTATGAGTCTAGCATGTATATTAAAACTAGCCCTGCTTACTTTGAGATCTAACCCTAGGTGGGCACCGACAAACTTACTCCCCACCACAAACACAATGTTTTTCTTTTTGTCCTGACTTTCTCATCCCCATAGCCTAGAAGCCTCCCTGGAGACATTAGTCTCAAAGCTCTGGATGACACCGGTTTCTGTCAGCATCAGCTTTTGCATTTCCTTAGTTGACCAGCAAGGGGCGCTGCTGACACACTTCTTCCAAAATCTGACCAAGGGAATGTAAACTTCCTGGCCAGTTTCAGGTGATCAGCTGGAGAGAATAGAAAGTAAACTGTTAGTAAGCTGTGTTGATTTATACAGGAGTCCAGCTAGCTAAGGGACCCAGGCAGTCTCTTATATTTAGCAAGAATAAAAATACAGCTGGTTGATGGAAAAGATGGGCCAGTGGATTCTTTGCACGTGTGTAAATCATCAAAATGTCCTGTAAGTGGAGCTCCACTTGTGTAGTATTTTTTTAAGTCTAACAAGCAAATTTTAGTCCAAGACATTGAGGGTGGAAGAAATGCCCATCCTGAGAATTGGGACATTTGGGTTCTGGTATCTGTTTGGTCATTAACTCGGTGATTAATTTAGGCCTAAAAGTTCCCATGCATAAAATGAGGACCTAGAGATATTCCAGTTCTATTCAGTGCAAACGTTCTGTCTTATCACCGCTATGATAAAGAAATGGCAGGTATAATTTAGTGGTGCAGAAATAAAACTAGCCTTGGATGCTTTTACTGATAACACTTGGGGAACCAATTTAAAAGAATTCCCCCCTCCCCTTCAAGAGAAATATACTCTTGAGTGTCAAACATTGGGTCAATAATAGATTAGGAGAGAGAATAAATAAATAACTTTCTCGTTGCCTCTTGGTTTTGTATTTGGACCACAGCCAGCTGTGTTCAGGGATTACTCCTGGCAGGGCCTCAGGCACCAGATGGTGTGAAATACCATACAGAATGCTAGGGATCCTAGGGATGGAACCCGGGTGGCCCCAGGCCAGCCATGTGCAAAGCAAGTGCCCTACCCACTGAACTATTACTCCTCTAGGCCCTTTGATTGCTTCTGGATTGTAGATCTTGGAAGGCACTCACTAGAGAAACCAATTGGCCTGGGAAGATCTTCCTAAATTGGAAGATGATTGTTTCTGATGCTTTCTGAATGGGTACTGATAGTATAATCCAGGCAGCCTGCTCCAAGAAAGAAGGTGAATATGGGATTTGGGGTGGTCACTGGTTTCCCTCAAGACTCTAGGCACAAAAATGAACTAGGAGGAGGATGGAGCAATAGCACAGCGGGTAGGGCGTTTGCCTTGCCGACCCGGGTTCGATTTCCAGCATCCCATATGGTCCTCTGAGCACCACCAGGAGTAATTCCTGAGTGCATGAGCCAGGAGTAACCCCTGTGCATCGCCGGGTGTGACCCCAAAAGGGGGAAAAAGTGAACTAGGAACTCTTCCCTATCTGTGGTATAGAGAATAACTGGAAGAGGAAATGTAGGGGAGGATGACTAGAACACCCTTGACTCCAGAGTTTGGAGAGAAGAACAGAGAGGGAAAGAAATCAAGAGGAGTGGGTGAAAAAAGAGAAAGGGAAGTAAGGGGGACCAGGGATTGGGGCTTCAGTTTTATGGATGATGTGGGAGATTCATGTAGCCATAAAACCCAAACACAGACATAGCGACACTGACACAGACTCAACGACACTGGAAATATGAGATCTGAGCTGAGACCACCAGAAATTTGTAACTTGCCTGTCAGGTAACAGGTGGGGGATGGGGCGGGGGCTGGGGGGGGAGAGGATGGAGCCTGGAAACACTGGTGGAGGGAAGCTGGCATTGCTGGTAGGATTGGTGTTGAATTTTTGTATGGCCTAAAACTCAGCTGTCAATAACCTTGTAAATCACAGCTCTTTAATGAAATCATTATTTTCAAAAATTCTTTCAAAATTTCCCAAGAGGGATTGTACAGGTGTTAAGGCAACTGCCTTGCGAGTGGCCTATCCTGGTTTTATTCTCTGGGACTGCATATGGTTCCCCTCAACACTGCTAGGGGTCACTCAAGCCAGAAATAGGCACTGAGCCCCACCGGGTGTGACATGCCTCGCTCCCCCTTCAATTTTACCCTGAAGACTGCTAGTATGCAGAGAAATAGTACAGGGGGTAAGGCACTTACTTTACATGCTACTGATCCTGGTTTGATTACTGACCCAGTATACGGTTCCCCTGAGCACCACTAGGAGTGATCCCTGAGCACAGAGCCAGGAGTACCTCTGAGCACCACTGGGAGAGGCTCAAGCCCTCTCTCCTCCAAAAGAAAAATGTCCAAAGTCGAATTAATTGAGCGATTAGGCTCAAAGCTTTTTAGCAAATTTCTATTTTTATTTTATAGGGACCACGGGGCCATCTTTAGCAATTCTCAGCCTCCCTGTGCAGGACAGACTTTTTCTTTTCTTTTCTTTTCTTTTTTTTTTCCAGCGGGGGGGGGGGGAAAAACAATCCTAAGTGGTATTCAGGAAGCCCCAGGGGGCTAATCAGGCTATTATTGTCAGCCAACCAAGATATAAAGTAGTTTTAAAAATTCCTACCAGGGACCAGAGGGCCCTTGCAGGGGTTAAGGCGTGCTATAGGCAGAGCCTGTAGTAACTATAGGCTCAAGGCAAGGGCCTCAGATATGCTCGAGCTCTGCAGTGCTGCAGATACTGAGGCCAGACCGGCAGTATGGGGACCCTCCAGGGCTACACCCAGTGATGCTTGAAGGAGCCAGAGGTGCTGGAAATCAAACCCTGGTAAGGCACGTGCAAGACATGTTCCTTAACTGCTGTACTGCTGTCCCTTCTCCCAGTCCCTAGACTGCTTTTTTTTTTTTTTAGGTTTTTGGGTCACACCCAGCAATGCACAGGGGTTACTCCTGGCTCTGCACTCAGGAATTACTCCTGGAGGTGCTGGAGGACCATATGGGATGCTGGGAATCGAACCCGGGTCGGCCGCATGCCAGACAAACGCCCTCCCCACTATGCTATCGCTCCAGCCACCCCAGGCTGCTTTGTAGTGGAGACTGGGCAGATTTTGGGGGATAGCAGCCAATGCTCGGGTAGGTGCTAAAGTACTGCTCAAGCATTCTGCCCTGGTGATACTCAGAGGCCCCAGGAGTGCTCAGGGAACACATAGGGTCTGGGATCAATCTTAGGGCCTCATGTAAGCCAGGCATAGTTCCAGCCCTTTGAGTTATGTCTCTAGGTCCTCATATTACAAGTTTTTAAGTGCTTATTTCATTTTCTCCTTTTTGGATTTTGTGGGTTTTTTTTGGGGGGGGGACTGGAGGGTATCATGTTACATGAACAACATCAGGGGGATGGCAAATACTGGATGATCTCATATGTGATCTAGAGAGAACTAAAACAAGGAAATAGAATCAAAGGATGACAAATAAACCCCGTGGTCTTGGGTTGCAAAACATTACCCAGCAGGAGCAAGAAAAGGGGAATTAGAAGTTACTTAAAGAAAGGTGGAGAGCACCTTGATGGCTTGTGAGTTATGGTAACTGTCCTGTTAAATCCTAAACGTTAACACTATTGTAAACGTGCTTTCTAAACTATAAATAAATACACTTGGGCTGGAGCAATAGCACGGCGGGTAGGGCGTTTGCCTTGCATGCGGCCAACCCGGGTTCGATTCCCAGCATCCCATGTGGTCCCCGGAGCACCGCCAAGAGTAATTCCTGAGTACACGAGCCAGGAGTAACCCCTGTGCATCACCAGGTGTGATCCCCCCAAAAAAGCAATAAATAAATACACGTTTTCATTGTTATTTTGGGGCCCTACCTGGCAGTGCTTAGGGCCTCCTCCTGGCTCCGTGCTCAGGGGTCAGTCCTGGTGGAACTCAGAGGACCATATGAGGTGCTGGGAATTAAAGCCGGATCACCTGCGTGCATGGCAATCAGTCCACCCGCTGTACAATCTCTCTGGCACCCTAAACTATATTTTAAAAAAAATAATGGAAGGCAGGAGTGATAGTGCAGTAGTTAGGGCACTTGCCTTGCATGCGGCTGACCCGGGTTCCATACCCAGCATCCCATATGGTCCACTGGGCACTACCAGGTATGGTGGTATGCCCCTCCCCCCCAAAAAAAACCCAAAATGGAAAAAATTCTATGTCTATTCCTACACCTCCAAAAACCTACTCCCCAGATGCAAAATCATTTATTCCCTAAGATCTAGGCACATCTATGGGCATTGCAGCTCTTACTCCAATAGGCGGTACCTGGAGAGAGAACCCAGACGCCCAGTGACAGATACATTTCAATTTTGAGAAAGGAGCTTTTCCACCTGGAGACTTTCTATCCATCAAGTGCACATCTCGGGGCTCCACTGACAACTTTATCTTGCCTGAGCATTTCTGTGTACTTGGGAGCAGGAGGGCCAAGGAAATGGTGTGTGGTGGAGGGACTTCCAAAGAGGAAGGTAAGTCTTAGCTCAGCTTGGGATGTAACACGGATTTAAAACTGCAATGAGGGGCAGGAGCAATAGCACAGCGGGTAGGGCGTTTGCCTTGCACGTGGCTGACCCGGGTTCGATCCCTGGCATCCTATATGATCCTCCAGGAGTAATTCCTGAGTGC